CCTCTTTTTTTTTCCTCCCACTTCAGGCGTTTTCTTTTTCATTATAGTATTACGGGGAACCTCGTAGCAGCCACATCCGTGCTCAAGCCTCCAGCGAGGGACCATGCGGGAGCTGCACCCACCAGCAGGTGCGATTCCTGCTACAGCCTGCTACAGCAGGTGGGCGATACCAGCCAGGGGTCAGCCAGTAGCATCAGAACAGGAAACAAATCAACACGGTTGGGAAGTGGGTGCCACTTTCACCAGAATACGGCTAAAACGTCTTCGTATATGGCTCTCACTTCCCAACCAAATGGTCACAAGTGTAAGTTATGTGGTTGCGCTCTGAGGTTGGTACCTCAGGTTGTTTGTGCATCTCATGCTAGGTAGTGTAACCACCTTTTAAACTTTTTTTTTTTTTTTAGTACTTTTCAAAATATGAATGGATGTATTTGCATAATAAATCACGCCGTGAGCCAAAAATGCACCTGTGGCAGCAAGGCCAACAACTTGACTCCGAGTCGTACAGGATCAAATGTATGGTGATGCAAAGTGACGTATGACGCCGCCTTCAAGTTCGGAAGAGTCATGGTGAGACAAAGGTGTAGTCCAACTTCCAGTGAAATATGCAGTGCTTGAATATTTCCATAGTATAGCGGAAGATTCATTTCGATTTTGCTCATGCCATAGATGAAACTATCCTCTGTCTATCTCTTTGCACGCATGGCTGGAAAATAGTGTGTATTTTCATATTCTGACGAAAGATTCATTCCGATCTTACTCATCTTATTGATGAAAGTAACCTCTTTCCCCCTGCTACTTCCATCGATAAGATGAAAATATACAGTGTCACACTATTTTTTCGTCCATTTTTTTTTTTTTTTTTTTTTTTGTGAGAGAGAGAGAGAGAGAGAAAGAGGTACTGGGAGAAGAAAGTTGAACTTGCTAGAGGTTCAAGTGTTAATAGCGAGCGATCAAGTAACAACCATTTCTTGCAGTGCTACCCTTGAATTTATTTCGCTAGTCACGACGGCGAACGGATCGGCGTGTTACTCTGTACCTGCATCTACCCGATAGCATTAGAGACCATGCCAACATGACCAATCCCTGTGCCTCCCCTTAGGTCCCCTCCACTACGAACATTAGCTGACTGCTCAATGCCGATTAGGGGATCTAACTTCACTGTCTGTAGGTGGGGGGGGCGCCAACCATGCACATGAAGGTACATGAGGCCAATGGGGGTTGAACCCATGACCTCCTGAATGCCACTTGCGAGCCCTACCAGGTACGTTATGCCCCTGATACAAAAAATCGGTATCGTCACGAGGGGAGGATAGGGACATTTTTTTCTTGACCACTTTTTTCCCTTTCACCCGACTGCATTCGTTGGGGGCGGGAGACATAGGGGCTCGCCACACAACCTTTCGAAACCAGCAAAATCGACGCTGTGTCTTTGGCACACAGCCTTTCGAAACAAGTTGTTTTGAAAGGTGTCAGATTGGCCGGCGTCGAAAGTCATTTTGAAGAGAGGAGATCCTCCCGCCTGTCACGAGAGTTTCCTCGAAAGACGTCGAGTGGTCTTGTGAAAAGGCCCACTCGAGATCCAGCGGGCTAGGTCAGTTGGTAAGGCACGCAAGTGGCGTAGAGGAGGTCTTGGGTTTAATCTCCACTGGCCTCATGTACCTTATTGGGCATGCTTGGCGCCCGCCACGTAGAAATAGGTCGTTGGTCCCCCCAATTAACATTAAAAAGCAGTCTCTGATGCTGTTCATAGGGGGAGGGGTAATCGGGGAGGCACAGCGACTGGTCACTCAGATGATGCTACACACCACTGCTACCGGCTGTCCCCTGGCCGGTGTCCCCCATTGGGGGTTCCCTGAAGACAATCAAGGCCACCCTGGGCTGAAAAGGCCACCCCATGTCTAACACGACACAATATTGAATTTACCTGGGCTGGTTAGTCTAATGATAATACCTGAAGGCCATCGCCCTTTAAAAACAAAACAAAACAAAAAAAAGGCTCACACAAAACGGTCGATTGGCAAACAAAACAAAAAAAGGGGGAAATTCCAAGGGTGTCCCCTGGCCGGTGTCCCCCGGTAGGGGGTTCCCTGAAGGCTATCAGGCCACCCTGGGCTGAAAAGGCCACCCGGTGTCAGATTAGACACAAGATTGAATTTACCTGGGCTGGTTAGTCCGATGATAATACCTCAAGGCCATCGCCCTTTAAAAAAAA